TGTGCAGCAAAAGCGGTGGCCCTGGATGGAAGAAAGCTCCCCAGTGGGGACAGGCTGCCTGCTACTTTGACTGCATGAGCTGCCCAGACAAGGAGATTTCCAGTCGCACAGGTACCGATCAGGAGGAATTTCCTTCCTCACCCTTTCATTTACATTCTTATTCGTCCCCCAAAAGCGAAGGATCTAGACTACGACTGAAATCTTCAAGTTCCCTCATTTGCTCAGCAATTTCACTATTAAAGTTAATCCCTATGAAAGGGATATGAATTAATATTCCTATGAAAGGATACTCTTCTCTTTGGTTTATTCCTACTCATCTTTTTGACCCTTAGCATTATCTTCTCAAGAAAATATTTTTAAGGACCATCCCAGAAGGACCTATGTTTGTTTCTACCAGGAAACTTAATACACAGTATTATGAGTATCTTGGTTTTATTGTACGTTACTCTCAACCAAACTCTGATCACACTGAAGGTTGTATCTTATTCTGCTTCCTTTCTCACATGCCTAGCACCATTCATAACACAAATAAGTGTTCAGAAATAATTTCTGTGATTTCACAAATGAAAAAACATCCTGTATTGCTGCTGTGAGGCTGTATTGTACAATGTGCTGAGGATGAATTCCGGTACCCCTCATTGTTCAATCACGCCTGTGCTCTGCTAGTTCAGAGTCAAGGAGAGGAGATGAACATGAGGGCTGACCACACAGACCATGGCCACTATACAAAGATGTGGGGGAAGATCTAACATTACTTCGGGAGGTCAGAGAATTTTCCACAAAATGTGCAGGTTTTATTATTGACTTCTGAAAGTTGAAAAGGATTGTATCAGCTGAATAAAGGGAGGAAGAATTCCTTGTCAGAAATAAGTGGCACATTTTTCCCACTCTTCAGGGACCTGAAAAAAAAAAAAGTCTAATGTGGCTGAAAAACAGCAAGTATAGGGTGGGATGATGGGACCCCATGATGGGAAGTGACAACAGTCTTGTACTGGAGACTTTTCACACCATAGTTAGTATTTTGGATTTGCCAAAGGACAAGCTAATTAAATGATGAGAGAGGGAAAACACCCCCCACCAATTAAATTTGTGGACAACATAAATTGGTCACTTTCCTTCCTGTTATTTAACATTGAAGTTCTGAGCAGCACAACAATGCGTGAAACAAAAGGGGTCATATTTATAGAAAAGGAAAATACAAGAGATTAAAGTACATCCTTTTGTACCAAAACTATTCCAAAGAATCAACTGAAACAGTATAATTGCTAAAACTTTCATGTAAAATCTCCTGATTCAAGATACATATATAAAAATAGATGATTTTTCTTTTTATAAAAATAATCAAGTAGATGAAATAAAATATTCCGTTCGGATAATAGCAATGTACAATATATCTCGGGATAACCTTAAGAAGACCTGCATGGAAATTATATCATCAAAATGCAAACTTTTGGAGAGGTGTATATCTTGATTACACGAAAGAACGAACCTTCACTTCTTTACACCCCCCGACTGGGCTCACCCTCGGGCCCATGGTGAAAGCATGGAAACTTATAAAAGCAGTAGGTGGTCTAGCTCGCTCAGTTCTGGCAAATTGGTGTAGAATACCTCAAGAGCAGAATTCCTCATGCTCCTACCCCATGCCTCCTGAGGTTTGCTTACAAGCAGTGATGACAGCGTAAAATAGAAAATGCCATGGATATGACCTACTTCTCGGGTAATTGACTGTTAGGTCAGGTGTGTACCCAGGAGCTCTCAGGAGAACACAAGCTCAAATGAATCCTTTTGGGGAAACTCAACCTCTTCTTCAGCATGAACCCTTTGCAAACTTGGCTGCTGACTAGCTCACCTCGAATTAGTGTTGGCTTTATTTGCACGTGTTTCTCATTAGAAGCTCATTGTCATCAGTTGGGGGGGGTCACTGCCAGAGCAGCTTGCAGTGGATCCCGTGCCCTGAAAAAGAGCCCTTTGCTTTGCTTGATCCGATTTTTACTATGTTCTGGGCTTCACACACATTTGGAATCAAAAGTACACCCAACACTGCAAAGTTCTGCCAGTTTTCTCTCCCTGTATCCACAAATCAGGCTGTAAAGTAGAATTTTTCCTGAATTCACTAATTAACTCCTCTTATTTCTGTCTGATTTACTCCATGACCTTCCTCTTTTCTCTGTAATAGATCCCCCTTCCTGTCTATATAACATCTCTTTATTTTACAGAATACAGATTTGGAATTTGGAAACATCCTAATCTACTCAGAAATAATTAGTAGGCTTAAAGAAATTTTAAATAACAAACAATGCCAGAACCCTCATTTTGAAATCAGGCAAAATCATTTCAAATTTCATTTGTAAGAAAAATCAATTTCAAGAAAATAATTATATAAGAGAGTGATTAGGGTGAAAACTCCATTTAAGATATTGAAGGTTATTAAAAACTACTCTTTCTTCACCATCGTTAAAGCACTCTTATTTAAAAACAAGACAAAAATGATCATTTTGCCACAATTGGGTAAGTCCAGTCTCTAAATAAGTACACAAAAGTGCAGCAGCCTTTCTATGGACAAATAATAACTGTATTAACTCTATGGCAGAAAAATATTCCAAAATGTAGGTACGCATTTAAAATATTTAGTAATGCAAGTACACAAGTCTGATACAAAAGTATTCTAAAATTATCTGTTGGGGAAATATGGAGTCAATAATCTTGACACAGGCAAGGGATGCTACTCAGGTGAGATGATTCAAGCTCAGTCTAGAGACAGGTGTTTATAGTTAGTTACGTGGAGAAGGGAGGAAATGATGCCCCAGGAAGAAGAGAACAAGAGTGATACACACAGGTATGAGTACAAAGGAGCATTCTGAGAACTGAAGGTAGACTTCTTTCAAAGTTTTGAGAGTAATGAATGATCTCAAAGGGCTGCTCACCCAACGGGGCACCAGGTCCTGATCAGTTGAGCTGAAGATTCCATTAAACCTTCAGAAAACAGGTAATTTTCACTCAATTTAATAGTACCATAATTTTTTTTAAAGAGGAAAGCTTCAAATATTTTATGGTTTGCTTTTGTTTATTATAATTCAGTATAAAATTCTTGCAATATTTGGACTACTGTGAACTCAGGTCTGCCTGACTCTAATGTTCTTTCAAGTTCTCTTGTTAGAAAACATTTAAAAATTTTAGTCCCGGTTGGCTGTGGTGTGCTATTTATTTAATGTACTTGATTAATCATTTCTAAGGCTTTATTTAAAATTTATTAGCATTTTATAAATGAGATTGGCCTAGGGTTTTCTTTTTTGATGATAAATTTATGAAATTAAATCTTGAGAAATTCATATTGAGATAAATATCAAAATACAGAAATTTCTCTAAACCCTGTAATTCTAAGAGAATGACAGCTTTTTAAGAGAAAAGGTTGTAATGAACATGAAAACTAGCAAAATGTGTATAAGGGAAAGATCACAGGCTTTGGAATCAGACAAACGTGATTAGGGCCCAGACTACGGTAAGGAAAGTGAGGTGCAGGAGGTACAAACATTAAGGAGGCACTCGGGGTCTTGCAGGGGCAGGGTTGGCACCTGAAACAGAATCCTGCTTGGATTTTGCCCCTGTGGGTGTCCTACTTGGCTCACCCTAATTCAGCCCCCTGGTTATGAGTCTACATCTAGCCCTGCTCGACCTACCTCCAAGATCTCGGGTGAGTTACTTCAGCTCTTTAAGCCTCAACAGTTTTCTTCTGCAAAGTGGTTGCTTCTATCTACCTACCTCTTGAGATACTGTGAAAATTGAAGGGGAGATATTATATGAAGCAAATTGCCTGGAGTATCACAGATACACATTAGAATTGGTTTCTTTAGCCCCCCTACTCCGTGGCCTTAAAAAAAAAGAAGGGGCTGCAGGAGAAGTAGGTAGCATGTAGATAATAACAGAGCTTTTTGTGTGGTTGAGAGTTTGGACTCAATCTAGAACAGTGATTCTCAAAGTGTAGTACGTATACCAACAGCACCAGCATTGCTGGAGAACGTGTTAGAAATGTAAATTCTGAGTTTCCCAATCAGAAACTCTGGTGGGAGACCAGCAAACTGCTTTAACAAGCCCCCCATGTGATTCTAATGCATGCTAATGTCTGAGAATCACTGATCTAGAAGAACATGAGAATAATTGTGGCATTTGAATCAAGGAAGTAAGAAACAATAATACCTGTGATTGAATGGTTGAGAGATGAGAGGGATTCAAGACAGAAGACAGCGAGACTCATTAGGGAGTCATTCTGTTAAAATACAAGTTATTCAAATTGGAACAACATAGTGAAAGTGATAATGAACAGGACATAGGTTTGCAATGATGTGGATAACAGACATAATGTAAATTTGTAGCTTCTTAAGTGAGCGTTTATGCCTTGGTGCTCTCTATATGTGCAACAGTTGGGATATTCTCTAGGTCACTGCAGGTTATCAATAAACGCTTGCTTTTGAGTGAATGAATCCAGGATATGTCCTACTCTGCCCATATCTAAGTGAAATAGTTGGGTGTAATTTTCGTTTATATGAAAGAACATGTTCCTTTGCATATGTAAGATAAACAAAAGAGGTGATGTTAGGTTCCTTGGTCCTAGATATACTAAGAAACACTAGACATCATTAACTCAGAATTCTTCACTCTGTAATGTTCCTTTATTTGGTGTCGAATTATAGAAATTTGACCACATGTAAATATTTAGGGAGATCAAGAGAATCACGGGGGCTTCCCTGGTGGCGCAGTGGTTGAGAGTCTGCCTGCCGATGCAGGGGACGCGGGTTCATGCCCCGGTCCGGGAGGATCCCACATGCCGCGGAGCAGCTGGGCCCGTGAGCCGTGGCCGCTGAGCCTGCGCATCCGGAGCCTGTGCTCCGCAATGGGAGAGGCCACAACAGTGAGAGGCCCGCGTACCGCTAAAAAAAAAAAAAAAGAGGGAATCACTGAACCCAAGGCAATGGCACCTTGCTTTTCTTGCTGGTTGTGAAGCAATGTACAAAGTGTCCAGACATCAGTACCCAAATAGTGATCGAGATCGTTGCCTCTCAAAGGCTGTGAGCTTTTTGTCCTATGAAGATCCTCTGGGGATGGTCCTTGCCTGCACTGCCCTTTGTCTGTCTATCCTCACAGCTGTAGTTCTTGGCGTCTTTGTGCAGTACAGGGACTCCTCCATAGTCAAAGCTAATCACCGGGCTCTCAGCTGCATCCTGCTCATCTCCCTCATCCTGTGCTTCCTCTGCTCTTTCCCCTTCATTGGCCATCCCAACACTGCCACCTGCATCCTCCAACAGATGACATTTGGAGTCATGTTCACTGTGGCTATTTCCACCATTTGGGCTAAAACCATCGCTGTAGTCCTGGCTTTCAAGGTCACAACCCCAGGGAGAAAGATGAGGCAGTGGTTGCTTTCAGGGGCACCCAATTTGATCATTCCCATCTGCTCATTGATTCAAGTGACTCTCTGTGCTGTCTGGTTGGGAACCTCTCCCCCTTCCGTTGACATGGATATACATTCAGAGCCTACCCTCCTAATCATTGTGTGCAATATGGGCTCTGCTGTCATGTTCTAACTTTCCTTAGGATACTTGGGCTCCTTGGCCCTCTCAAGCTTCACCTTGGCCTTCCTGGCCAGAAGCCTGCCTGACACTTTCAATGAAGCCAAGTTCCTGACATTCAGCATGTTGGTGTTCTGTGGTGTCTTGATCACCTTCCTCCTTGTGTATAATAGCACCAAGGGGAAGGTCATGGTGGCTGTGGAGATCTGTCCCATCTTGGCTTCCAGTGCTGGGTTACTAGGATGCGTCTTTGCCTCCAGGTGCTATAATATTCTCCTTAAGCAAGACAGGAATACCCTGCCAAGATTAAGGGGTAAAACAAACTCTGGGGAAAAATAAATATTTAAGGTTTTATTTCATGGATTTCATAAAACATTTAGAAAGCTTTAAATTAAGCAATACTTTGAAGAGTTCACTCCTCACACCCTGCCATGAGTACCTAAATGCTCTAACATCATTTCCTCCTTGATTTTCAATGCTCTGGTTATTATAAACTAAATTCCTAGATATAAATCTGTATTCTACACTCACTATTCTTTCATTGATGCTTTCTCTGAATTAATACCATGCTGTTTTAACTTTCTGGATTTCATGGTATGTTCTGACAGTTGATAATACCTGTTCTTCATTATTGCTGTTTTTCAGTTATTTTCTGTTTATTCTTACAATATTCTCTTTGACTTTTTGAATGGTCTTGGCAAATTCCATAATACACAGTCAGAGATTTGGATTGGCATCATTTTGAATTCAAAGGTTAATTTGAAGAAAGACTGACCTCTTTGCAATTAAAAGTTTCCCACTCAGGAATGTGTTATCTCTATTTATCTTAGCATTTTCCGTTTATTTATTAATGTTTTATTATAGTTTCTGACTGGTTATTTGGGTTGTTAACTAATGTATTGTTTCTTGTACATTTCTTGAGCTTACTTGTTTGCTCCTGTTAATTGTAAATTGATTCTTTTGGTCTTCTAAGGTATGAAAAATACTGTAAGGTTTCTTTCTGCTCAAGATAACTTATTTCTTTCCTAGTGTATTGGCAAGATTCTTTAATACAATGCTTAATCATAGCAGTAATTGTAGTTTTGTGTCTTGGCTTTAGTGGGAAATCTTCTAATGTTTTTTTTTTTTCCATTACAATGTTTGTGGTAGGTCTTTGGATCATACCTTTTTGTTAATCCAAATGAATATCTCATTAATGATGAGAGTGCCCTGTATTCAACCCAACCTGTTTTTTACATAAATTTAAAAAATTGTGATAAATACCCATAACATAAAATTTACCATCTTAACCATTTTTAAGTGTATAGTTTCAGTAGTGTTAAGTACATTGGTGTTGTGTGCAACAAGTCTCCAGAACTCTTTTGGTCTTCTCAAACTAAACCTCTGCACCCATGAAACAATTCCCTACCCCCTGGCATTCATCATTCTAGGTTCTTTCTCTATGAATTTGACTGCTCTAGGTACCTCAGAGAAGTAGGGTCATACAGCATGTGTGTTTTCATGACTTCATGACTTTCACTTAGAATAATGTCCTCAGGGTTCATCCATGTTGTAGCATGTGTCAAAATTTCCTTCCTTTTCAAGGATGAATAATATTCCATTGTATGTATATTTACCACATTTTGTTAATCCATTCCTTCATCAATGGGCACTTGAGTTGCTTCCACTTTGGGGCTCTTGTGAATTACGCTGCTATGAACAAGGGCATACAAATGCCTCTTTGAGATCCTGCTTTCAGTTCTTTTGGGCATATACCCAGAAATGGAATTGCTGTAATTCTTTTTTTTATTTTTTGAGGAACCACCAAACTGTTTGCTAGAGTAGCTGCAGCATTTTACATTCCCATCAACAGTGCACACACGTTCCGATTTCTCCACATCCTTACCAACACTTGCCCTTCTCTGCTGTTTAATAATAGCAATCTCAATAGCGTGAGGTGGAATCTTATCATGGTTTTTGTTTGTTTGTTTTTATTAAAGGGTAAGATTCATTTTTCCTACTGCTGTTGATCTCAGAGAGACAGCAGTGAGTGCTGGCTTGAAGGGAGATCTTAGTTCTCCACCCAGGAATTGAACCTGGGTAGCCTGGATGAAAACCAGGAATCCTAGCCACTAGACTAGCCAGGGCTAGAGGCTGAAGCAAATTTTCCCTGGCCCTTGCCCCCCACTGAAAAATGCATTTCTCAAGGAGGCAAAAACTGTAAAAACAGGTACAAAGTTTATTATTAGAGACAGCACAAGTGGGAGAGCACACAGGGAAACAGTTTGTTTAGTTAAGACCAACGCAAGGCAGAGATACACACCCAGAGAGGAAGGGTGTGGGCGTCCTCCCTAATGAGTAGGAGCCAGTAAAAAGGCGATTAAATCATTCATATAGGGCAGTTCTTCGGGTCTTTGTTTACCTTTGGCCAATTATCCGGTTTCTTTCTCCACATCTGCCCTACCCTAGGATCCTCCCCAGCATGCATGCACAACTTTTTTCCAAGATGGATTCCAGCCCACCCTCTGGGGGGGCCTTGACATCACCTATTATGGGGTGGTACCCCCTCCTTTTTGACCCCCAAGGAGCCTTTCTGTACTTGTGCAATGTCTCTCTTGTCCCAAGGAAGGGAAATATATGACCTCTTGATCTTTTACTCAAAAGCGTTTAGCCCCTCTGTTCCTGCCATGACTGTTATATTAAAGTGCCCTCAGGAGACAAAGTCTGGCTATTTACCCTGTTTCTGTTGTTATTTCTATGTCGAAGTGCAAACAGGAGGCTGGTTGTAAATATCTAACCTGGAGCCACCTATCTCCTGTCGTGTCTCAGGAAATGCAAACAGGAGGCTAGTTCTAAGTGTCCAGCCTGAAGCCCATCTTTTTCTCACCTCAAGGAATGTAAACAGGGGGCCAGTTGTAAATGCCTAGCCTGGAGCCCATCTGTCTCCTGCCTCACTTTAAGATGTAAATGACATATAACACTGTATTAGTCCAAGGTGTGCAACCCACTGATTTGATAGATGTATGTATTCCAAAATGATTACCAAAATGAGTTTAGTCAATTCACCTCAAGTAGTTACAATTTTTTTCTTGTTATAAGAACTTTTAAGATCTACTCCCTTGGCAACTTTCAAATATACAATCCAGTACTGTTAACTGTAGTCACCATGCTGTACATTATAGCCTTCAAACTAATTTATCTTGCACCTGGAAGCTTTTTTTTTTTTTTTTTTTTTTTTCT